AAAACGTCAGGTTGATTTCAATATTGTAACTTTTTTAGTGCTTGTGAAAAAAATTGTTATACAAATTTTATGTACCCCCTTTAAGGGGCTGTATCTTAAAAAGGGATGCTCCAATGAAGTTTCTTTATATAAAAGATCCTATCTTTCTTTCGATGAGGAATCACCTCCCCAAATGTTTAACACTTATTCAGTTACACCCTGTATTTTGATAATTGAGTCACATGTTATAAATAAAAAGAAGATGATATAATATAGATAGGTCTGAAGTGAATGGGTTTATTTAATTTTCCGTAAAGATATACTGTGGCGCCCACCATTTCAGACTCGATTCAAATGAGTATAATAGCTTCCTCACAATGCCAATCAGTTCATTTGAAGTGACGTTTCAGCTCGGATGATATAAGTGAAACTCTGCTGAATACTAAGGACTTGAATCAAAAACGAGGCAGGTACAATAAAAAAAATTGAACTGGACGAGTACCAGAAAAATTTTGTACGCTATACCTTTCATTCTTTCTTTTTTGAGAATAAAGCGCTAACCCTCGAATCTATTAGGACAAAGGTAATGGATAATGATCTCATTCTAAAAATGAGCAAAGAGAAGTTAAGGAAAATAATAAAAGAAGATTTAAAATTTATATATGCCAAACGATCCCATAAATCTGTCTTAATAGAAAGAGAAGATATAGTCTCATGGCGACGGAGATATCTTCGCTCTATTAGAGAAATGCGTTCTGCTCACAAAAAGATTTATTATCTGGACGAAACGTGGGTGAATGTTGATCACACAGTATCTAAGATCTGGCAAGATACTACTGTAACTACTTATCGTCAAGCATTTGTGGACGGTTTATCAAGAGGGTTACGCGGACCAACGGGTAAAGGGCAATGACTAATTGTCGCCCATATAGGTAGCGAGAGTGGCTTTTTAGACAATAGTGCACTAATTTTATCATTCAAAAAGACGTGGGATTATCACGAAGACATGGACGCCCAACTCTTTGAAGGATGGTTTGAATCACTTCTTTCACAAGTCGAGCCAAATTCAGTAATAGTAATGGATAACACTTCTTATCACAGTCGATTAGTAGAACAGCTGCCAACTATGACCACCAGAAAAGCAGACATGCAGAGTTGGTTAGGACAACAAGAAATTCCATTTTCCGAGGACATGGTTAAGGCCGAGCTTATGAGTATCATTAAACAGCATCGTGAGAGATATCGCCAGCATGTGGTGGATACATTAGCTCGTGCTGAAGCCATCACCATTTTGAGACTTACTCCTTACCATTGCGAGTTAAACCCGATAGAATTAATTTCGGCTCAAATTGAGGGATACGTAGCTCGTGAAAACGTGACATATAAAATTTCTGATGTCCAACGTCTATTAGAACTCGCAATGGAACGGATGCGGAAAGAAGATTGGGCTTATACTGTAGCCCATGCGATCAAAGAAGAAGAGAAAATGTGGAGATTGGACGGGGTGTTTTCGACCAAATAATAATAGGATTCCTCTCGAGCGAGTCAATGGATTCTGAAACTTCTCTTCTCTTCATATATAAAAGGAACATAATAATTATTTATTAAATTTGTCTGTTCTTTTGAAGAACTGTATTAGGCATAATGAGAAAATGTAATCAGTTTTACCATTGACACCAGGTAGCGCCACCTACTATAACAATTTTTACGTAATTACCTATGTGTTTAAATGAATAAAAATATTATTTTGGTACGCCTCTGCAGAGTTGGTAAGAGGATTATTCGTTGGTCACTTCAAGTGCGACGTTGCTAATGAATCACGTTTAATTGAAAATTGTTATAGTATAACATCGTTTGATATTATACGCTACCCACCCTGTCCTTACCGAGATGACCAGTTTGCAGAGCTACTTCTCAAGATGACAAGCTTACAGAGCTACTTTTCTTCTGTCAAGGACATCAAGCAAACTGTCCATGAGAAGTCACATTTTTCAAGTCATATGTATACACTGACCCTGAATAACCCAGCGAACTAACCTGAACAATACAACTGAACAAACAACTTGAAAGATCTTGTTGAATGGAGTCATTATTCTGAGACTTTTTTATACCTAGATATCAGTCTGAACTAGTTTCAGATAATTGACAGTTGAATTTATACAGCGATTTGAGTTTGAATAATGATACTTTCAAAATTTTTCCACATGTTCATTCGTTGAAAGTTTCAAATTGATGAAAAATTGTTCACTGAATTTAGTTTCGAAAATATCGAATATGAGAAGAACGTAGGTATACTTACATTCTTTTCGAACAGTTTTTTGTTTTTGTTTTTGTAAAATAAATAGCCATATGCCAATCCGATTATGGACCCTATTGAATTCCCTTTGAAACTTATAAATTGATCGTGCCATTGGTTATCAACCGTAATAAAATACAGGTCATAAAATTTTCTGAAAGATAGACTTTATTATCAATCCCAAGTAAAAGCAGTGAAAACGGAAATATACGAAAGCGAAAGAGTGTTACAAATTTTTATTATTATTTTCTTGAAAAGTCCCACTTCAAGAAGAGAGTAAAGCCGTAATTTCGAGTTCAAAGTCCAAATTTTGAGTTCAAAGTCGACATTTCGAGCTAAAAGTCGCAATTTTGAGTGAAAGCGTTGACATCTCACCTGACAGAGACGCCATCTATGAGATCGAGTATTAGAGATTAACGAGGCTCCTCAAGGTGGTAAACTTGCGGAGCCAAGCTTCGACATCGACCGCCAACGAGATTCGTTGTCTGTCTTCCATTGCAATTTCAACTGCAAGGCAACTAGTTGTGAACTAGAGCCCAAACACAACAATTTCATGATTCAATACCGGACAGGCCTAGTAAGTGATACTAAGCTGAACCATGAATGCATGAGATCGCTCACATGAATGGCGTCTTAGTAAGGGAAGATATCATCGCTCTCAACTACTTAGGCTCCTCTTTCAAGGACAGTTGAATCAAGTCTAGCAGAATATCCAGTATGACATGAGCTGTGTCACATGTAGCGCCAACCCCATGTCGTTGGTGTCCAGATCATCCAATTTAGGTTAAAAAAACGTTGGTTATCATCGAACTATAGTACTCGCCATTGGCAGTAATGGCCTGGCCAATGAAATATAGACCGATGAAGCCATCACACAAGTGATGTTCGAGTCTCCAATAAGGCGGATGGTCACATCAAACACTGACTTTTTCAGGTTGCATTGGACCCTTCTGGCCAAAGGAAGTTGGTACTCTTTGACCTAAAGTGTTCGCCGTTGACCCTAATGGCCTAGCCAACGTCGTTATCGAAGAAATATGGACTGATGAGTCCAAAATTCACACCAAACAGTGACATTTTTGGTATGCAATGGACATACCCATTCATGCAGAAATGCCCCTCATCGCTGAAGATGATTTTTCGATGGAAATTAGGGTCAGACTCCATTCAGCGAACACATGTCGTTGTTTATGGTCGTTTACCTTCCATTCCTGGGTCAGTTGAATTTTGGATGGATGCAGTCACGACGCAAAATTCGCCAAGTTGTGGTCTGCTAAAGGCCGAGTGCTCGTGAGCGACGCGAAATCAATTCCCCTGGATTCTCCTACACACCATGGTGATTCGGCAAAATATTCTGAATAAATGACAACTAATGTGACAGATGTAGCTTTAACAAGATGGCCGTTATGAGTTGTCAAAGTTCGAAAGTCCCTGTTGGATGACCCTATATTTGCCTTGCAGTGAAAGGCAGCGGTCAATGTTGAAGCTTGGCTTCGCAACTGACCGCCTTGGGAAGTCGCGTTCATCTTTGGCATTCGACAATTGGGTTCTTTGTTAATCCCATAGATGACGTCTTTGTGAGATGTCATCGACTCCATTCGAAATTACGACTTTGAACTGGAAATCAAATTGTAGTCGAAATTTTGATAATAAAATTAAAACTTCTAGTTCGAAGTTGAAATTCCGAGAGTAAAATTGAAATTTAGAGTTTTGAAGTCGGTTCTTCCAAGAAACAAACGATGAAAATTTGTAGCCCTCCTGAGCTTCCATAGAAATACAGTTCATATTTGTAAAATCAACAAATTCAACATTCTGCGAAATTTGAATAATTATTTTTAGTTTAATTATCAGAATAGCAGCAGTTTCGTTTGAATTGAAAATGGAATATTTTTCAAGAATAATTAATTTTATGAAGAAAGTTTTTCGGCTTTCTACTTCTCCATCATCATATAAAAAAGAGGGAAACTTTTGAATAAAGGAAAAAATAATTTACTCCAGTGAAAATTCGACAAAGATGTGTAGAATTCGCATAAAAGTTAATTTCAGATAAAAACTGGAAGAAACAATACATCCAAAACAACTACTTTCAAACAATGAAAAATTACACGGAAATATTTTTTCTCATCAACTTTGTACTTCAAACATTCGTTTCGGAATTGAAACAAATATCATCCAAAGAAACGCTACACAATGTAATATATCAAGACGTTTTGATATGAAATCAAAATTACATGAAAAGCTTTCAATATCCACGAATGCTTCGATGTTGAAATGATCATGGTATGAATCACTTTGAAGAAAGTTGATTGAAAAAAATATAATTTTCACTTGGTTTTTTCTTGAATATAAAAAGGTAGATACTCACTCCGGTAAAGGAGGAATCAGCCCTTCATAGTCTTCATAATAATTATCCAAGAACGTGGCAGCCACAACCAAGCAAGATAATGAACAAAGAAATGGCCAAAACAATTTTTCGTTTTTCTTCAGAATCCAAATTATTATCAACGCTATTATAAAATATTGAGTGTCCAAGGCCAGGTACCATGTATGAGACGAACACTGGAAAAAAAATTAAATACTCATCAAATGCGTTATATCTTATTCTATTGTGTTCTTTCAAAAGTTTTGTCCGTTTTAATGCCATGTATTTTTGTAGCTTCATATCCCAATAAATATTTACTATCTCTCCAAGCACTTCGATAACTTTTTGATCAGTAGAACCTTCGCCAATCAGGACCAGGCAAAAACGGCCTTCATTCTACTTTCACCTTTCATTCACCTTCCATCATGAAGGCACCAAGTTGAAAGTATTGCATTCTAATTCAATATTTTATACTGAAGCGATTATTTCAACCGAACTCACGCATGCTCAGTTATAATTTAGCGTTTTAATAACACTGTAAACATTTTCAAGTAAGTTTTCAGAAGATGACATCAGGTAGAGAAAGTTCGTTTGTCAACAATGCAGGTCCCAATGCGAAAACTCAGAAAACCCTTTTTCGACTTTGTAAAGGACCTAAATTTTCCACAAAATAGTTCTTAGCTATTATTTTGTTTTTCTCACGCGACAAAAACCTTGTAAACCTATCAAGATGTTTGAGGTCTGCTGTTGAAAATGGAATTACCTGTGTATTCATGAAGTTAGTGGCGCCTCTTCATTGACAGCTCCAAACGGAGCAATAATTATGGATCGATTCCAGTTGCCAATCCAACCATGATATAACAAGAGTATGAAATCAATGTATTTGTCTCGAAAAAATCAAGTTCAACAAACATTAGTGGAAAGTTTAGGTTGGCCCCATAATAGTTGATTTTCTTTTTAGGCATCAAAGTGAATATAAAGAGAAGTCATATATTCTGTGTCTCTAGAATAGTAGAGCTATAAATGATTACTGGAAAAGGATATATGACGTCATGGCAATTATCATATCAAAAATGATATTCCGATGCCTCTCATTTCCCCTGTAAAAATCTAACTTCTTAGAAACACAACGTAGCAGAAGTGTCAACGAAATGAAGTACTTTTGGCTTACCCTGGACAGAGACGGGACAGAGATATCAACCTGCCTACGAACCTATGCGACTGTATTTCTAGCAGAAATCTACGCTATTGAATTGTGTGCGGAGGGATTAGAAGAATCCAACCTCATACATGAACCAATAAAATATTCTTGGACAGTCAAGCGGCGCGGCGTTGGAATCTCTTGGCTCCTGCCGAGCAACATCTAAATTGGTAGCAAATTATCAAAAACGATTCTCCTTGATAGGAAGACTTAACAGATTGTCTCTGGTCTGGATTACGGGCCATACTGGCGTGGAAGGCAATGAGGCTGCTGACTCCCTTGCAAAGGAGGACTATAATAGGAATGAACTACGATGTCTAACAGGCCTTCTCACAGGTCACTGTCATTTAAATCATCATATGCAGATACTCGTACTGTCGAAAGACAGTGTGTGTCGCCTTTGTTTGGAAAATGATGAAACAGCAGAGCACATACATTGTGCCTGTCCCGCTGGGGACCGAATCAGGTTTTTAGAGTTCGGCACAGCCGTACTCTTAACATCTGACCTTAAAGACCACTCACCATACAAACGAATCGGCTTCGTTAAGAAGCAGAGTGTTTCTTTGATGGAGTGTGAATAGGTGTGAGCCACAATAAACACTTGCGGGTTGCGATAGAGGGTCGAATAGATCCACTCACTTTGGACCTAACCTGACTCAACCTAAGCCTTTTGGACTAATTCAATTCAATTCGATATAAGACAAGCAAAGAGAAGCAAAGAAATAGTGAAACACGAGTGAAAGAAAAAGAAAACTATTTCAAAATCGTCATTTTTCAAAATAGTTCAAGGTCATCAGGTCTTCTGATTTCTACTACATTCGTGAATATATCAGTATTCACGGGAGACGTGATAATAACAAACTAAAAGTCTACATACCATATTTTTTGAGTCCATGAAATTATTTAAATATAACAAGTTTTTCCACCAACTTTTTCTGCAATTGACAAATTCCCTGCCTACAAAATGATTCCAGTTGGGTCCGTTTCCTAAGTGACGCCACCAGGTGGCGTAGAAAGCAATTACTAGTGCCATGCACGGAGTCAACCTGCAACGAATTCATGAACAATTAATTGATATAAAAAATTAATGATTTGGATTAAAGATGGAAAATTTTCAAATTTTATTTTTAATCATATTTTGAACAATCTCATTGATTTTCAGCTTGGTGGGAATTTAAGTAGCTTCGAATGTCTAAATTGACCGGACTTTATTCGAGTCCCCATTGGATATTAAACCAGAAATAAGTACGAAACAAAACATACCTCATATATCGATTCATGATAATTTTCAGTACATCTTTCAGCTTGAAATTTCTGTTTTCAAATTCTGAAAATACCCTTTGTATCAGAAGGAAAGATGAAAGGAAAAAAAATGTGCCCATGCACAGAGGACCGTTAGATAGAAACAGGGTAGCCACCTTTCCTTGAATCTGTAAAAGAAATGAAAGTATTTCTCTTCATTGCATTAAGAAATTCGGGAGTAGAAATTTAGAGTCGTTAGAACTCATCTATACTGTACAGTGTGACACACTTAAGATGAAGACACCCTTGTATTTCAGTCATGTTCAATAATAATAATAATAATAATAATTGCTCAGATGCCTTGCGGTACCCGACAAAATAGTGAGATGCATTGAACAACTGATACCACTTAGGCGAACTCGCTTTATCATAACATCTGGTCAAGCAAGAGTCCAAACAGGGTGGGTCACTTTCAGAAGGGGTGTATTTCAGGGTGATTCCCCCAGTCCCCTTCTCTTCTGCATCTCACTATTGTCATTATCCGTTGCGCTCAGAAACACTCGAGAATATGACTGTGGCACCTCCGGATACCGGAGGCACAAGGTCACCCATTTGTTTTATATGGATGATCTTAAACTTTATGCCTCTGGAGTGAAGCATCTCCATCAGTCCTTGAGGGTGGTGGAAGAGTAAACGCATGCCATCGGTATGAAATTCGGGATAGACAAATATGCAATGGTCCATCTCAAAAGAGGACGATGCGGGGACTACGGAGAGGATGTGCAGCTCGTACATGGAAGCATCTTACACCATCTGGATGCTGGAGAGGCGTATACTTACCTCGGGGTGGAAGAACGCCACTCACAAGAGGTAACAGCAGTGAAAAACTCTCTCCGCGGCAAGTATCAGCACAAACTTCGANAATTGTAGGAAAATACAATTTAAAATTAAAAATTTTTTTCTGCATGATTGCTGTTATGATGAAGTGAATGAATACAGTTGAAGTAGTTTCAGAATAAATATGGGAATATAACTGCCTGAGTGCTGAAATTATAAAGATCGGTTTAGTGATGTCAATTTTGAGGAGTTTGTTTTTATCGGGAAATATGTCAGAATTAGGGAAAATTAAAAACTCGGTTGGATAATGTCAATATCGGGAAATTTTTATGAAAATGTTAGATTCGGTTCTTTTTTTCTTATAATTCATACAAATAAATATTTGGTCTGATGTACGTTACTCGTAAGTTGGCGTAGTAGTTTTAAGTCTACGAGATCGTTAAAAGTTTTTCTATCTGTACACTTCAACCACTTCTTCACATGGAGTTTGTAGCATGTATACGATTTAACCTTTTATATATCATCAGGAAGTAGATTATAAACTTTTGGTGCTAAAAATTCCACTGACCTTTGACCTATAGTTTTTCCTCATGTCGTTTCGTTGATATATCTACTTTTTGTTCTCGTGTTGAGATGATGTTCAATTGCTTGTAATTTTATTTTGTTTCTGTGGATATTGATTAGAAACCGATAAGTGAAGATTTGTCTTATATCAAAAATGACATTTTCCAGAAATAGTAAATCACTGGAATAAGTAGGTAATATTTCTCCTGTAGATTATCCTTAGAATCCACTTTTGCATAACGTTCAAATTATGCAGATTACATGGAGCTACGCCACCCCATCCTAATATTCCATACGATAACTGGGAGAGTATTAATGCGATATATAATGTTTTCAAGTTCTCTGTACTCAAAAAGTCAGCGAGATATCTGAATTTGATAAGCAATCCCCTTAGCTTATTTTTAACATGATGAACGTGAAGGTCCCATATTAAGTGCCTGTCTATAATTATTCCTAAGTACTTCGACCTATCTTTTTCTAGAATGTGTTATATTGCTCAACACCAAAGGACCTAATTCTGGTAAATAGTTGAAATATGAAGTGAATGGTAACTAGTATGATTTTTCATCATTCATTGTTAAACTGTTGAATTTGAACCAGTCTTGTTCGGCTTTATTTTTCACATCTGTCCAAGTTTTGTCCTTATAAAGTATTGCCATATCATCAGCAAAACTGTTCATGTAAAAAGTGAATAATAGAGGTCCAAGAACCGTTCCCTGTGGAACTCCATAAGATTCGTCAAGTCATTCACATTTAGTACAGGAGTTTCATTAACAAAAGCCTCCAGATGACCCCAATAATAGAATTCTAGAGGATTCATATCAGGACTGCGAGCTGGCCAATTTTGAGATCCTGCACGACCAATCCAGCGGTGAGGTTAGGTGACGTCAAGATGGTCACTAAAATGAGTTGGAGCCCCGTCATGCAAAAACTACATGCTGCCTCTTACGAGTACCATCACTTCTTCCAATAAAATGGGTAAATAGTCTCACAAAAAGTCCGTGTAAAATCAACTTGTTAACTTGCTGGTAGTAAAAATGGGCCAATAAGGTAGTCATCAATCATTTTTACCCAAACTTTCAGTAACAATTCTTGCTTAAAACAGCTTTGTGTAATGACGTGGGGATTTTCGTCGATCCAAAAAAGTTCACTGTGGAAGTTTATAATAGCATTCCGTGAAAAGTTTGTTTCGTCCGTAAATGAAATATTTGGTAAAAAATTATTATTGTGTGCCATCGTATGAATCAACCACCTACAAATCATTAATCTTGAGTGAAAATCTCGGGGCAGTAGAGTTCGGACACGCTGTATGTAATATGAGTATAGATAGTTTGTTTTCAGAACTGTCCATACGGTTTTTGGGCTGACTTCCAGCTGCAGTGCAATCTTCCTGGTACTATTTGAAGAATCGCATCAAGTATAGATTCTTCTAGTTCAGCACCACCTGCAATTTTATTGAAACTCCCAATTTCACATAATCTTGCATGTAGCGTTCTAAATAATAATGTTTATTTGCAATACTTACAGGTACAATACTTACAGGTACAAACAGGTAAAATATAAAATATTTTTACATTCTGTCTCATAATCTGACGATTATTTAGAGGGATTCGCTCAGTCAGACAAAAACAATATTAAAAAAAAATCAATTCATTGAACTCAATTAATTGAATAGCTCAGGAAATAGCATGCAAATAAATGAGTGTATGTTTTTTAAGTAGAATACTTGTATTTATTCCCTGTATATTAATCTGCCGCGCTTTAGTAAATCCCGAACTCCCCACTTGTGCTCCCTATTACGACGTATGTTCATGATAACTTTTTTTTCTCAAAACGACCAAACAAATTAACATTTACCATTTCAATTGAAAGGGTGTCTTCATCTTAAGTATATCACACTGTAGAATGAATATCGTTTTTGCTGAAGAACTTTCAACTAGTTGTTGAGTTTATAAAAAAAACTCCTGAAACACAATGATGAATGGAGAAGGTAGATCGATGAGTTCAAAATCATAATAAGGCGTGACATGAAAAAGTATATATCTGGGTTTACATCTCTTATATAACTTACCGTTTCTGTATATTTCGTGTTAGCAACGGGTCTAAGAATACCAGCCAAGACAGTATGGCTCGAAATAACTAAGAGACTGTTGTAAAATCGCACACCCTGTATTGGTCTCAGTTTTTCAAATTCCGGAGAATTTCTCACGGTTTTGAGTCTGTACCAATTCCTGGGAATAGAGAAAGCGAACAATTTCCTTTTCCAACCGTTGCCTATCGAGTTTTGGTATTCTTCTTCTGTTTTGCATCGAGCCGTTCCTTCGTACAAAGTAGAGAATACAATGAGAAGCATGTAACATATGAAAATCACCCTGTGAATTGAAAAATAATAAAAATCAAAGTGATACACTGATGAATATTGATGCAAATGTTTTTTAAAATTATTGAAACAAGATTTTCAGCGTTACGATCTTCGTTTGGGTTTGAAGGCCGTCGTGGTTTGAAACTGTATTCTAATGTTTCGCCAGCACGAGTGGCTGGCTTCTTCAGAGGTCTTTTCATCCTGATGGTTCACTGATGACTCGTCATTTGTAGTTCGTAAGCTGTATTTATGATTACACAGGTAGCCCGCCTTGTTCGTTGTTCGAATGGATACAGTACAACCGAGATCAATAAGGCCATGAAACTGAAAACATCTACAAGTCAAAATAGTGAGGAAACTCAAACGGTTGCAGGTGCGTTCCTACCATACATCTCTAAGTTTACAGATAGAATCGAAAAAATCCTAAGGAAGCATAACATAAAAACAGTGTTCAAGCCAACCAGAAAAATACAGCAAAGCCTGAGATCTGCGAAAGACAAAAGAGATCCACTATCAGCTGCGGGGGTATACCGTATACCATGCACCTGCGGAGGAGTTTATATCGGTACCACCAAAAGATCCATGGGTACAAGGCTGAATGAACATCGGAGACACTGTAGATTAGGTCAAATAAAAAAATCGGCAGTAGCGGAACACGCGTTCAGTGAGATCATACGATACTGTTTGAAGATGTGAAACTACTTGCACCCGATCATGGTTACCATCGTTGCGTCGGCTTGTACGGGAAGCCATAGAAATCCATAAACACACAGATAACTACTACAGAAAAGAGGAGGCGATAACGCTTAACCGGATTTGGAATCCTATACCAAAATATGCTAGGATGGCAGCAGTGCAAAGCAATGTGACAGGTAAAAACGGGTCATCGGTGAACCATCAGGATGAATAGACCTCTGAAAGAGGCAGCCTCTCGTGCTGGCGAGAGGATACAGTTCCAAACCACGACGGCGTTCAAACCCGAACGAAGATCGTAACACTGAATACTCACGAAGGAATGATAACAGGAGGTTCATCAGTTTCTTGTTACTCTTGAACTATCTAAGTCATGAAGTGCGCATATGAGCAGACCCTTTGGATATATACAGCATGACTTGTGGAAATTGCATCGTATAGAACTTCTGTAGGCGCGCTTGACTTGGGGAGTAAGCTAGTGAATGCGTGACGAGATCGTTACGAAGGGTGTGATCGGCCTAATCAAGAGATGAAAAATATCCCGATATTAGAAAGAAAACAATCTATGAAGCATATGTTACAAGTTTGAAGACGCTGTGTTGTTTAGTATTTGTTTGGCAGGCATCAATAGTGAACTTTCTCGGTGAATTTGTGAAAATGAAGAATATTGGTCATCTTTATGTGGTACAATACATTTATTTGGAAGGCCTCAGCCCAACCAATATAAAATCTGAACTGGGTTCTACTCTGGGTGAGTCTACTACTTCGTTCTCAACAGTAAAATATTGTGAAGCAGAGTTGAAACGAGGCCGTACGAGGTACAAATACGAGCATCGCAGTGGTCGATCAGATGAGGTGACGCCTTTAGAAACGGCAAAGAAAATCCACAAAGCGGTACTGAATGATTGTCAACTGAAAGTACGCGAGCTAGCAGACTCAGTAGGCATTTCAAAAAGTGCGATGCATCGTATGTTATCTGAAAATTTGAACGTGTCAGAGCTGTGTCCAAGATGGGTGCCACGTTTGCTCACACTCGAGCAAAAACAGTATGATAAGTGTTTAGCGAAGTTTCACAGCATTGAAGCAGAATGCTTGCGTCGCTTCATTACCATGGATGAAACATGGGTCCATCACTTTACATTCGAGACGAAGGTATATTTTTAATTTTCATTTCTTGTTAGTTTTTCTAAGTTTTTTTTCCAGCTCTTGTTAATAGCTCGATTTTTTTGGGTTTTTTTTGTTGTTACTTGTATGTTATTTCATTGTAATTTCAGTTGTTTGCTCAATAAAGTTGTTTTTTCAGCTAATTCAATTTTTTTTACAGATTCTTACAGGGATTTCAAATCAATTTATATCATATTAGACAATGGAAGTCCGAACTGATGAAATGCAAGTATGTAGAAAGTCATATAATTTCATATGTTCAGGAAGGATTCAATTAGTATGAACACGCCTATAACGCCTACAGTGAAACACGTATTGCGGTTTTGGGAACTGTCCTGTGGAAAATCCACAATAAAGTTTCATTTGAATAAGCAAAATAAGATTAAACACCACCCGCGTTAACGTTTTGAATTTGATCATTCTTACATCACAAAAACATAGATTTACCCACCCTACAACGATGTCCAACCAATCCATAGGATATTCAGGCACATTGGTAACGCATTTGAAATTGTCAATTTTGCCCATCAATCCATACTGTTCATATTTTTTGTCATAGCATTTTTCAATCTCCAGTTGAATTCTTGTATAATTTTTTTTACTCGGAATGATTTCAGGACAAGTTGAAGGAACACAAATCCAGTGTCGAAGATGGTCATGTCTGTAGTTGTACCTACTAGAACTGACCTCCTGAAAATACATAACAGAGTTTTCATCTATAAAAACGTCGAAAAATCCATCTCTTAGAAGAAATAAGCATTTCGATTATGGAACGAGTTATTTTTAATAAATAAACTATGAGTTAGATGCTTTTTTCAAAGAATGGACATCTGTAGGTGTATACAGTATGGACCATTGCATTTATCGATACAGAATATAAATGTCAATATCTTCAAAAGATAAGATGTGAATTGATAGAGGATTTTCAGTCAAAAACGTGTTCCAGAAACTTATCAAATCAATAATTATAAAAAATTTGAAATTGTGACATTTATGTCGATATTAGTTATGCTACGTGCAAAGCTAACTGTAATGACAAGGAAATATTTATGTAAATGTAATTTATATCTTAAATAATCTCATGAATCAATTACACAGCCTGTAACCCATTTTACATTCAATATCAACAATTTATCTACCTCTAGTAAAAAATTATAAATAATAATCAGCATTTCAATATGACTTCTCATTCATACTCTTTGGGTTTTTTGATTTGGATCCTTTTCAGAAACAGTCTTTCAAATATTATTCTTTCTGAATTCAAAATTTTTGTTTCGTCAAATTCAATTATGTGTCCTTCTTCAAGAGAATGTTGTGTGAAGTTACTCTACCTAAAAATGTTCTGGTGTTCGTATCCCAATTATTGCAAGGTATATCGTATAACTTAACTTCATCAAAATTTGTTATATATGAAATAATCAGAAAATATCTGCATAACCTGGTTTCCAAAACCTTCAGTAATATTACCTGTATTATTTTCCATGTATCGGTACTATTGGCACCATTGGGTCGAGGTTCCATTTTATATATGAAAGAACAATATAAAGCTTCATCGTCCAGGAGCATACACTTATCGTAATTATCTTGATGGAATAATGCAGGCATGGAGGCATATTGTTTATCTATAAAACAAAATCATCTCTTCTGAGTCATGAACAATGTGGTTAGAATGAAAGGTATGGAAACACTAGGATGACAGGCAAAGTCTTGCGAGTTTTTCTCAAGAAATGAACTTCATTAGCTTCAACTACCTCACCACTATCTCCTCTAGACCTTGTAATTCAAATCTTGACCGGTAGCGGGGGACATCAAAATACCCCCTGCCGGATGGGGTGTCACACGTAGAGGTGGGATTTCTTCAAATGTGTATATGTGTATACTTTTGCCAACAGGATTCAATACCCTGAGCCTACTAATGAAACCCTCTAAATACTGCCCAATTCTTCGTCATAGAAAGCCTCATTGCAGTGATGTGGGACCCTTTATGGACCATGAAGTAACAATAATCCGACCATGAGTCTACAGTAGAGATGGATATGATGAACTCCAACTCATGATTTTGTCAGTAAGCTAAGTGTTCTGCTAGAGCAGAATGTGACATCAGGGCCGTAGCGAAAGAAATACCAGGAGGGTAGGAAATCCAAATGTTCCCAACAGCAAAATTTCCCATCTTTCGAAAAAATGAAAGTCGAGGGATATAATATACTACTCTAATATATTATTTTTCTTACTTAGCTATCCAAAGATTGGCTGAATGCTTATGCCCGTTAGGTTATGCACAAACAAAAATAAATTTTGGTAATTATAAAAATAATAATGGGAATTATTCTACTTTGGACCAAGGTCCACCATATCCATCATGTATAGGAATATTCAATACAAATGAGAGGAAACAACACAACAACACTCGGATAATATTGTGCTTATTGTTTTTTACTATTATTTTTTCTATCGTCACGGCCCGAAATTTCCCAACTTTTCCAAGTCGAAAAGACAGCGAAAAGTTGCGAATTTTGTAAAACTATCACTTCAAAATTTGTGGACTGTTCAGGACTGTTCTCTTACTTGGGAGGAATTGAACTTTTTTTAGGTTTTCAAACAACTCAGAATTTCAAAGTATGGATCTCCAAGTTATGTATGTTGGGAATCCCCAACGTTCTCCCGGTTCTTTCCGTTTTCTTATTACCTCTCCCTTTATTTTCTCTCATTTTGTTATTTTTTAATTTTCATTCATTTTTTTACTCTTATTTTTTTCTACCTTCACGGCCCAAAATTTCCCAACTTTTTCCCAGCAGTGGGGGGAGGCTCCTTCCATGGCGACGGCCCTGTATGCCATACGGAATTTTCGAACAGCAGAATCATAATCTGCATTAGGAGAAGAAAAAATATACCCCATGAATAGGTTACCAAACACTGACATTCAAACGATGATTCATCCAAAGCAGAGCTGGAAACACCCTGAATGGACAAGTCCATTGTATAATCAGGTATAGTTGACTTACAAATGACCTCTTATGGAAAGGTTACTGCATCATTCTGATTGGAATTTGGCATTTCAAACATCCAACAATCAACTGGAATTTATGCATTATGCCTCTATGGCTGCCGTAGATGAATTTTAGAAGATGGTCGACAGGTAGGATACCAGAGCTACACATTCCAGTCTGAATGGCTACAGATTACCTGAGAGGATCACGAGTGCATCTCTTGGCTGGCGGGTGCAACCATGGGAGAATTTTTCCCTGAAATGCGTCACAGGACCTACTCCTTAAGCCAGACATTTATGTTTCCTGCCTATCTGGCGGAAAGGGTCTAGTAAACCCACCACATTGGCCTTATTCAAATTCTCTTTCTGTTTCTTCCAGGAATGATTTTTCATGATTTTAAATGTTTCAGTATCACTTATGACGAATCTTTCTTCTCTATGATAGAGAGAAATTTGAAAATTTTCATTTGATCCCTCCAAATCATAATATAAAATCATGGTAATGAATGTTGATTTCATTTTCAAGGGGCAACAATTCCACTGCATACTTTCGGTCTTTCTGTTTCAACAATCTTCGAGGATAAAGTGTTATTCTCATTATCATCAATTGGAAGTATGGTCGAGTAGCACATCATTCCAAATAGATTTCATTTTCCTTCAAATGTTACACTTATTTGATCAGTATCTTGCAAAAATAATAGGAATTGCACTGGGAGACATTCCTCGAATTTTTTTTTTTTTGAGAACAAACAAGCATACACGGTGCTTGAGCGGTGCCTGTGCGAAAGTGCGATTCACATTGGATTTGAATCGCTGGAGATTAAACTCGATTGGAGAAACGTTCCTCGGAAGTTTATTCCACATAAACGCAATTCTCCAAATGAAAGAGTTCTTGAACAGTGAAGTTCGAGGTGTACTGAGATAAACCTCAAAACGGTGAGCAGCCACAGTCCGCGTATTTTAGATAAGTACCACTCTTGAACACCTCCCGTGAAAGTATCTATAGAGAAGAGACAAATCTCCAACCTTTCTTCGATGTTCCAGACTATCAGAGTTGCAAGTGATGTTCGCGTCTCCAATCAGGCGGATGGCTCTTTTCTGGATGGAATCCAGCAGCTTCAGGATATGCTTTGTGGCGGAGCTCCATACATGAGAACAATACTCCAAAGAAGGTCTGATTTGAGCTTTATAAAGCATCAAAAGTTGTTGAGGTTTGTACAGTTTTCTGGTTCACAACAGTATTCCAACCTGTTGTTTAAAGATGATTGACAACGTTTCAGGATAAATGTCATTAGTTCGGACTTCCATTTTCTAATGTTATATAAAAATATTTGAAATACAAATACCTGAAATGAAGTTACAGTGAAATAAAATATAAATGAAAAATAAAACTAAAAACAATAAAAGAAATTTAGAGATTTCAACCCAAGTTACTTCACGACTTTTTGATTGTTTGTATCCACCATCGTCTTCGGGTGATGACTGGACTAATTTCTCCGAGAAATGACTATTTATAGTTCATTCGAGTATTTTCACTTATCTCGTCTTTTCGCTTCACCTGTTTGGTAGGAGATAACCGTTTGGTGGGAGTTTTTCGCTGATTATGGGTTTCCATATGATGCGTATCTCTACGCTTACTTGGCTGGCTCAGCTTGGGATCACTCGATGTTATGGTCTGGTGTTCGTGAGGCTGTCAGATCTGAAGCAGTTCCGGATCTGAAGCAGGTTCTTATGTTGTGCTTGGACCCAATTTTTCCGATAATCCTCTGATGTAGGAAAGTGCAAGCATTGGTTGTGACCGCTTCTCTTCTTCGCGAGGCTCTTGCTGTATTTCATCTAAAATCTTTTCCACCATCGCTTCGGAGTTGCCATTTCGCTGAAGATCATTTTTGATGATGTCTAGTTCCTTTTCAAGACCTTCCTTCGTATTACAGAGTCCGAAAGCACGATCTAATAGAGTTTCAATGATTCCTCTATCATTCGATTGATTGTGGTTGGATTCGTGGTTCAGATACTGTTCCGTGTGAGTGGGTTTTCGGTATACAGATGTGTCGGTCCTCTTCACCAATACGTCTAATAATGGCAATTCGTTGTGGACTCCATTCTCCATTGTGAAAGTGGTGGAAGGTTTCACGTTGTTGATATGTTTCAGAGGCCATTGACAGTCCGCATTGCCGAGCACAAGAAACGCACACAGCGACGGGAAACCAGCATATCAGGAATAGCAGAGCATGTTTTGGACCCATCAACATAACATCGAGTGGTCCGAAGCTGAGATCATACACAGGAAGGAACACTGGTTTAGGAGGAAATTTAAAAAACATGCATACATGTTGTCCAACAATGTATTCAGCCAAGCTATCGTATGGAAACCCATAACCAAGGAAAAAAATGTCCATCTCTCACCAAACGGTCATGAATGACCCATAAATAGTCATCTCTGGGAGGAATTAGTCTAACATCTGCAGCATAATGTGGAGGCGCACCATCCTATTGGAATCATAAACATTCATCAAAACTTCCGGGATTAATTCTACTGGGGAATAAATTAATTGAAGTAGGTACAAGATATCCCCTTAAAAACTGAAGGTATGTTGGCCCGTCTGAAGTACCGTCGAAAAAGTAGGGTCCGATGATCCTGTTTCTTACAATACGAGTCCATACATTTACCTTTCGTGGGTATTGTGCATGATGCTCACGCATCCAGTGGGGGTTTTCTTTGGCCCAGCACGTACAATTCTGACGGTTCTATCTGGATCATCCTCGTTTAATTCCTGTAGGGATGCCATTTTTCCAATTTCAATACTTTGTGTACAGTTGTTTTACTGACATCGAAATCACGACTAATGTTACGAACAGAAGTGTGCACATCTTTTTCAAAAGCAAGTAGAACATCTAGTTTTCTATCATCATTTACAGAAGGACGACCTGATTTGCGTGCATTTTCAACTGTACCAGTTTCTCGAAATTCATTTTCAGTCTTACTTACTGCTGACTGCGTAATGCGTCTTTCTGGAAATCATCATAAGTATTTCAATTATTTGCTTTACACTTAATTTCATTACTATTTCAAATTAATTCGAAGCAATACTATAGAAAATTCACCAATCAATACAACAACTACTGTTCTATTTAACAGTTGCTGAACGTCAATTGAAATAATGACATTTCACAATAACAAAACAAAAACTAGCCGCCTAGTTTTTTTAAACTAATAAGAAATACTTGTTGACACGGTT